CCCCCCCCATGTGCTTTCTCTCTCTCTCATTCTCTCTCTCAAATAGATAAATAAAATCTTTAAAAAAAAAAAGAAAATCATAAGGAAGAGAAAATACACCCACAGTACTGTACTGTAAAAAAATCCTCGCAAAAGTAGACCTGTGCAGTTCGAACCCGTGTTTTTCAAGGATCAACCGCACTGTTAATTATAATAATTATCAAACACCAGTTTGATAGCCATTATGCGTACTTAGTACAGCACTTTTAGCGACACAATCTATCCTTCATCGTCATCATGGTCCCCTGAACCCCTGTCATTAGGCAGCATTTATCCCTGGGCACAGGCAAAGACAGAGCCAGGCTCAGAGAAGCCTGCACACAAGGCCAGGCCCCGCAGGTAGGAGAGGTGGCGGAAAGAAGCTTCCAGGTGCCCTCTGAGGGCTCCGAGGGGGCCTCCTATTTGGGGACCAGAGCTTCAGGGCTGTCCTGAGAGCCTGCGGGGAAGGCAGAAGCAGCCAGAGGCCTGGAAGCAGTGTCCTGGATGTTACCCCCAAGAGCCCACAGTCCTCCCACAGCCAGCTTCCATCTCACTGACTTCCCCCAATGGTGGCCCCATCTCAAAAGGGGCTCCCCGACCCACGCTCCCTCTGCACCCTCTGCACCAGGTCCCGGTGCAGCCCCAGCGCATTCACACCACCCCTGCTAGGGGAATCTCTATCAGATCCCCTAGCCCTGGGTGGGGGGCAGGGCAGAGGAGAGGCAGGGGAGGGGGGAGAGGGCCTCTGCCTGCTGTGGCCTCCTCCTCACTGGCCTCCACAGTAACCCAGCCAACACAGAGCCAAAGATGGGTGACACTTCTCAGATGCACATCTGACCATTTACTGCCCCTCCCCACGGGGCTATCATTCCGCTTCCCACCTCCAGGCCTTTTCCCTGGACCTGCAATGCCCTTTCTCTTCTGCTTGATGCAATTTTCAGCCTTTGAGACCCAGCACCACTCTATCTGCAGGGAAATCTCCCCCAGTTCCCAGGCAGGTCCCTGCGCTGGGCTCCAGCACTAGGTACATGCTGGGGCTTATCTGTTGACCCATCCGCCTTACCAGTCAGAAGGGAGGCTCATAGGGCAGTGACCCCACCTCACTGTCCCAGCGCCCAGCTCTGGCCTGGCCTGAGACCACACGCCCCGCTGTGGCAGAAAACCAGCCGCAGCTGGGTCCACCCAACCCTGCCCAGTCTCCTCAGCCAGGCCTCCCCACCCCTACTACCCCAGGAGGAGGGACCAGGCCCAAAGATCCTGAGAGGTCTCAATCCTTGCAAGAGAACACAGTGGCTTCCCCCAGGAGGCCTCACACTCAGGGTTGGCTGAGCCCTACCCTCAAACCCCCTCTCTTCCAGGAAGTCTTCCCAGATCTTTCCCTCCCTAGGATATTAGGAATAGTTGGCCTCAGCACTTCACTCTCCAACGCTGATACAGTAAGAAGATTCTGACTTGAGAACCAAGCTGACCCAGGGTCAAATTCTGGCTCCGCAGCCCTGAGAGACAAGGTAGCTCACTTCACCCTCTGCCCCACCCTTCACATCCCAGGGAGGGCTGGGGCTGAATCTCACATGAAATGAAACCTGGAGAGACTTGGCACCTGTTCATGATCTTCTGTTCGACTTCACCCCAGGCGGGTCTCCCCGGGTCCCCAACTCTGGGGGGTAGAGGCAGGATCAGAGAAGCCCAAGATACCTTCTCTCCCAGAACTCCCCGCCTCCCCCGGCCCCCTCTGACGCACCCAAGCCCAGCAGCCCAGAAAAAAGGCCCTTATCCAACCGGGCAGAAGGGTCGGGAAGGGAATCCGCCTTGGCCCTGCCCCTTTCCCAAGCTTCCAGGGCCGGGGTTGGGCGGACATCCAGGTGAGGTGGTGGAACTGAACGGATGGAGGACTGGGAAGAGAACAGGAAAGGGGAACTGTGAGGAAGAGAAGAAACAGTCAAGTCCCGGGGGTGAAACCTCAGCGCGTCGGAACTAAGAATCTGGCTCCGGAGCACCCACCCAGGGGGAGCTGGAAGAGGCCCCTGGCCGCGGGGTGGGGATGGGGGTGGGCAGTAGCCCCGGGGGCGGATCGTCGAAACCCCCGGCCCCCGCCCCTGGCCTCAAGGCCCGCGCTCACCTCCTTCCTCCCCCGCCTGCGGGCAACGCACCCGCACACCGATTCGTGCTCACCGGGCACGCACCGGCCGGCGCTGCACCCGCACACACACCTCCGAAACACACACGAACACGCGCGCTCGCACACGCCTCCCTCTGCGCAGCGCCTCCTACCTGCCGCGCCGCCGCGACCCGGGCCGGACTCGGACTCAGGGCACGGCGCGGGCACGGGAACCCGGGCAGCACCGGCCTCCGGCTCGGGCCGGGGATCCCTCTGGGGCTTGCCTGGGGCGGGGGCGCGAGCTCGGACTCCCGGGCAGCGGCCCGCCCCGCCCCGCGGCCTCCGCCCATTTGGGGAGAGAGGCGTGGTCTCCTGCGGGGCGGGCGGGCCAGGACTGCTGCGCAGGCGAACTGGCGCCGTGCCGCGGGGCGAAGCGACTGGGAGGTGGCCGCCGAGTTCCCGCTCGGGGGTAGGAGGGGGACTCGGGGCCAGCGCGGCTCGGCCCGACCCCTCTCGGCTCGATCCGGCCCGCGGTCTCCCTCCCTCCGTCCCAATCTCGCACTGTCCGCCGTGGAGTATCTCCGGGAGCCCCCCAGGGCCGAGCCCCCGTCTGCCCGAGGGTTGTGTGCCAGGGCCGCGGAAGGCTTGCAGGCCGGCCGAGCTTTGGGCATGCATCTTGCAGGGTCCAGAACAGGGGGCTGGGAAAAGAGGAACCTGAAGGGGCGAGTGCCCATCTCTTCCCCATGTCCGAGGTTGGGGTTGAGGAGGGGGAACCTAGAGCCCCCGCGCCGCACACGCAGGAAGGCCCCGGTCAGATGCGGAGATCTGGCCCCAGGCCCATAGTGAGCGTTTCCGCGCGCTCGGATAGGCCCGCCACAGCAGTGGCGTGTTTCTGCAGTGAGGTTGAGAAGGTGTGTGCAATGACCAACCGCGGCACACAGTAGGGGCGCAGGGCTCTGGATAGACCTGCCTCTCTGATCTGTGCCAGCCCACTTTGCAGATGGAGAAACTCCGGCCCGCTCACCGGGCTTCTCAGCCTCGGTTAATGATCTCATTAACCTCTCAGGCACTCAGACCGCCGGGCCACCACCTCACAATCTCTGTCCCAGACCTCCCAGATGTTTCTCCGCTGGGTGCAGCTCCAGCCCCGCCTCCTCCTCCCCACCCGCCCAGTCCCTATCCAGCCAAGGGAGACTTTCAAAAGGTGCAGCCATGACCGGCCACCCACAGAACATTGTTCCAAAACTGCCCCTGTGCCTGACTCCCCCACTCACACCCCACTGCCCGGCCTGTGCCCTGGCTGCAGCCTCCCCAGACCCCAGGCTCCTCTCGAGGCCGCCGCCTCCCCCACCCCCAGACCTTGTTCACGCCGCTCTGCGGCTGTCTGGAAGGCTCTTCCGGCCCTCTCCAGGAGGAAAGCGCTGATAATCAGGCCTCTAGCGCCAGGGCCTCCATCCCCGAGCCCCACCCCCACCTCTCCACTCCGAGGCCCCACCCGCTTCTTCAGCGTTCCCACCCTGTTGTTTGTGTTTCCTCCCTGGCCCTGAACTCTCGCTGCCTCTCTTAAGAGTCAGTGGTGGAGTCTCGGCCTCCGTCCCTGTGCGGTTGAGGCTCATTCTGGGGAAGACGGTAATCCTGGGGGAAGCCAGGCGGGTCTGGCTCCAGGGCTTCCTCTGCCCGTTACCGGCTGTGTGATCCAGGCAAGTCCTCTAGCCCCTTTCCTGCCTGGAAACTGGGCTTCTAGCGGAAATGTGTGACGATCACGTCCAGGCAAATCGTGGGGCCCGATACGGCCCCATCATGCAGGGTGTTGGATCATGTCTGAAAAGACATTTGCCTCAGCCTGTAAAAACAGTGGATGTTGGGTCCCCCTTTTGTTTTCAGAGTGTTGGAACCACAAGAAGAGTGTCATGTGGTGATCCCAAGCCCGAACTCAGGACTCACTGCCTGGGCTCCTATCAGCAGTGTGACCCCGGGACAAGTCACCTAACCTCTCTGCTTCCTACAAAATCAGTCTAGTAGCCTTCACATTATGGGGTTGTGGGAATTAAATGGGCCATCCCTGTGAAGCCCCTAGAGGGACCCCTGGCTCAGAGTAAGTGCTCGGCACAGTTCAGCTGATGCCATGTTCATCCAGTCCAACCCCCTCATTTTGTGAAGACACTGGGTCTTCACAAAAGGAGACATGTACACATGGTTAGTTAAGAAGCCCAGGCATTCCAGAAGGTCAGAACTGGGAGGGCCCACTCTGAGCCCATCCCTGGCAGTACCCACCTTCTCTGACAGATGAGGAGAGAGGCCTAGAGAGAGACAGTGACCTGTCCAGGGCACCCATCCCGGTTGGGGGTGCGGGGAGGCACCAGCCCTGCTCTTGTTGGGGGGGGGGGGGGGAGTTGTGCATAGTCTGCAGACAAGCCAGGAAGAACCTGGTCTCCCAGCAAGCTTGAGGAAAGGGTGAGGTTCTAATGATGCTCCGTGGCACTCGGTTTTTCATAAACTGAGTCATCGGCCGGTGGCGTCACAGGGCCTGCTGTGTAAGTGCGTTCCCGTTCGGTTCTCGAAGCCGGCCTCTGCAGGAGCCCTCATTAGGCCCATTTCGCAGATGATAGAAATGAGCCTCAGGGAGATGCCCCAGTCACACAATTAGAAAATGGCAGAACTGGGATCCACACCTATCCACTCTTGTGCCCTTTTCCTCCCCCTCCTCCTCCTCTGCCCCAGGGAAAAGCCACCTCTGTAGACCCCTTGACTGGCTAGCCAATCTCTGCTTGCATCCCCCTGTAACTGGGAGCTCATTCCCTCGCAGGGCAGCTCTTTCAACTCCTCTTGGAAGAGTCTTTTGTCCCCCAAAACTAACCCATCGCCCTTTCCATAGTTCTGCAGGTCTCCATACCCCCCCCACCTCACCAGAGCCTGGGCACAGAATCTTCTCTGCTCCGGTCCAGAACACCCTTATCTTGACTGCTTCTGTGAGTAACAAGGGTTCCCAGGTGAAACTCTTACAATAATAATAATTTCTTTCAAAAATCTCAGCAGATCGAATTGGCTAGCTATTGTTTGAGAAGCCTAAAGGAAGCCCCTCGGCATGGGGAGCGGCTGGTGTCTTGGGGGAAAGGTTCAAATAACCATGTCTAACAGTTGCCCTACTCCCATCTAGGCAAGAGGCTGTAGGGAGGATTGTGGCCAAGGATTGTAGGGAGAGAGGTGAGTCAGACACTCAGAACTTTCAGGTTGGGGGAGGTTGCTAATGGTATTTCCCAGAGAGTGCAGGAAATGGGAAGGTCGCAATGGACTTCCAGCAGCCACATGGACACTGGTAATACAGAGGACAAGATTACCTTTCAGCTGCTCTTAGTCCCATGACTCTCTGAAACATTGCCTATATTTTGTTAGTATCCTGGATTTTATTAAGAACCATCCAGAACCAAGTGGGATTCATTCCAGGAATGCAAGATCGGTTTAACATTAGAGAATTTGTTAATAGTATTAGCTTACTAGGGCTGCCATCACAAAGTACCCCAAACTGGGCAGCTTAAGCAACAGAAATGCATTGTCTCACAGTTGTGGAGCCTAGAAATCCTAGATCAAGTGTCATTAGGGCTGGGTCCTTCTGAGGGCTGTGAGGGAGAATCCGTTCTGTGCCCTCCTCCCCGCTTCTGGTGGTTGGCTGGCAATCTTTGGCATTTCTTTTCCAAGATTTTATTTATTTGAGAGAGAGAGAAACAGCATGAGAGGGGAGAGGGCCAGAGGGAGAAGCAGGCTCCCTGCTGAGCCGGGAGCCCGATGCGGGACTCGATCCCAGGACTCCGGGATCATGACCTGAGCCGAAGGCAGTTGCTTAACCAACTGAGCCACACAGGCACCCAATCTTTGGCATTTTTTTGGCTTGTAGACACAACACCCTGATCTATATTTTCATGTTCACAAGTGTTCTCTCTTTGTGTGTATCCATCTCTGTGTCCCAAACTCCCCTTTTGATAAAGACACCAGTCATATTGGATTAGGGTCCACCCTAATGACCTCATTTCTTGATCACCTCCTTAAAGACCCTATTTCCAAGTAAGGTTACATTCTGAGGTACTGGGGGTTAGACGGCAACATCTTTTAGGGGACACAAGTGAACCGATAATAAGCATGTGCCATATTAATGGATCTAAGAGAAAAACCATATAATATTCTCTTTGGATGCCAAGAAAGCCCTTCACAAGATTCAACACCCATTCATGATAAAAATACTCAGTGAAATAGGAAGTGAGAGATACTTTCTCAAATGATAAAATGTAGTCCTAAAGCCAGCATCTTATTTAATCAAGAAACACTGGAAATATTTCCATGAAGATCAGGAACCAGACAAGAATGGCCACTTCCTCCACCACTATTCCACATAGGTAGCTAATGCCATTAGACAAGACCAATCAAATGGAGGCCTGACAATAAGTACAGAGGAAATAAAACTATCTCTATTTGCAGATGACAAAATATTATACCTGAAAAACCACAGAGAATCAATGATAAAACTAATTCAAACAGTAAAAGAGTTCAGGAAAGTAGCAGGGTATAAAATTAAAATATAAAAATCAATAGCCTTTATATATACAAACAATAAACAGAGGTCCTTACAGTACAGGGAAAACCCTATTTGTGATAACAGCAAAAAAGATTAAATGCTTAGGAACAATTTATTTTATTTTATTTTATTATGTTATGTTAATCACCATACATTACATCATTAGTTTTTGATGTAGTGTAAATGCTTAGGAACAATTTTAATTAGAAATGTATAAAACCTATATGAGGAGGGACACCTGAATGCCTCAGTCGGTTAAGCGTCTGCCCTCAGCTCAGGTCATGATCCCAGCGTCCTGGGTGGAGCCCCACATCAGGGTCCCTGCTCGGCAGGGAGCCTGCTTCTCCCTCTCCCGCTGCCACTCCCCCTGCCTGTGTCCTCTCTCCCTGTCTCTCTCTCTCTCAAATAAATAAATAAAATATTTTTTTAAAAAGTCTTTGAAATATAACTACTCTTAAAAAAAACTATATGAGGAAAAATCGAAACATTTTTGAAAGACACTAAAGAAGAATAATTGAAAATACATCCCCAGCTCTTGGATAGGATGAGTCAACATTATAAAGATGTCAGTTCTTCCTATGTTAATTTGCAATTTCAATGCAAATTAAAAATATGCCCATTAAAAATAACGGCAAGCTATTTTATGAAGATAGACGCGTTGATGCCAAAGAGCATATGAAAAATAAACATGCAAGAATAGGCAAGAAAACACTGGAAAAGAAAAACTGTGAGGTTTTACCAGACATTCAAAATGTCAGAGCACCTGACTAGCTCAGTCTGTAGGACATGCAACTCCTGATCTAGGGGTTGTGAGTTCGAGTTCCCCATTGGACATCGAGCTTACTTAAGAAAAATGTTTACCAGACATTAAAAAATAAAAGCTTCTGTAATTAAAAATGGTGGCACTGGTGCATGAAGAGACAAATCGCAATAGACTAAAAAATTTAGAAATAGACTCCAAGACATCATTACCCCAGTGATTTCACATGTACTTTTGTTACATACTAAAGATGGACTTTGTCATAAATGCTACTGGGTAGCCATTTGGAAAAGGAAATAAATAGACCCATATGTTGCACCCAACAAAAGAATAAACTACATGGTTTGGGCTCTAAGTGTAAAACTGAAACCACACAAAGATCAGAAGGAAACATGAGTGGCTTCCTCTTAGAGTGTCATGTTGGGAAAGGCTTTCCAATGATGATTCAAAGCCCAGCGGCTGTAAAAGAAAAGAGGGATAAGTTTGACTACATGGAAATAAAAAAACTTTGCACGACACAAATCACCGTAAAGTAAGTCCATAGACAAGTGACAAGCTGGAAGAAAATATACCCAACATTATACCACAGACAAAAGACAGATCTCCCTAATACATAAGGAACTCTTAAAAGTTGAGGGACAAAACCCAAAAATCCAGTAGTAAAATGAGGGGAAGGGCATGACAGACAGTTCACCAAAAAAGATATAAAAAATGGCCCTCAGGGTCATTGGTCCCATGTCGGGCTCCCTGCTGAGTGCTTCTCCCTCTCCCTCTGCCCCTACCCACCCCCGCCCCTGCCCTGCTCTGTCTCTCTCTCAAATAAATAAAGTCTTTTAAAAAATGACCCTCGGGGCACCTGGGTGGCTCAGTTGTTAAGCATCTCCCTTTGGCTCCGGTCATGATCCCAGGATCCTGGGATCAAGCCCTGCATCGAGCTCCCTGCTTGGCAGGGAATCTGCTTCTCCCTCTCCCACTCCCCCTGCTTGTGTTCCCTCTCTCGCTGTCTCTCTCTCTGTCAAATAAATAAATAAATAAGATCTTTAAAAAATAAATAAATAAATAAAATTAAAAATGGCCTTCAAACATATGGAAAAAAATGCTTAAGGACACTCAGAATTAGAGAAAGGCAAATTAA